TCTTGTCTGGAGAAGGAGGAGCTGTTTTGTTTACTATATTCTGATACTCAGAATGCAGACCTGTCTGCCTAAGCTCTTGCTCTGCTTAGTGTGTGAGTTCAATTTAAACTGCTTTGATGTCCAGTTAAAAAATGGTGGTGCCCTGTGTGCAGTATTAGGTTGGCCAAAGCTAGCAGCTGTTCTTGTCTGCAGAGAAGCCTAGCATTTTCAGCCATTTTGCATATTAGTAGGACATGGTGCTCTTCGAGAACCTGTTGATTTGAGTCTCTTCTTAGTGTGAAGGTTAAGATGAACGTACACCTGCCAGCATCCAAAATACTTAGTTACAGGACATTCCTCCCCTGCTGCTTGAGCAGACAGATACAGAAACAGCATAAAACTGAAATGGAAGGAGCCTAGTGGAAGTTTGTCATCCTACAGGTTAGAAGGCTTGCTAGGAAACTGCAAATACGTGGTCTAATCTATATTCCTCTAAGATGATTTTTAATTCAGTGTCTCTCTAGTGTATAATGTGAAAGTATTCAGGAGCAGGAATCATAAGCTATGTTTTCCTTCCTCCTAGCAAAATACCCTAATGATAGGACAACAGAAATGGGTTATTCTGTTTCTGTTTTCCTTAGGAATGAAAATTTACCCCGAGGCCAACAGACCATATGCTGCCAGCTTTGTAAGGGATACATTTATCACAGGGACAAAGAATATGTGAGAGAAGGAAGAAACCACTGAATAGTACACGTGGGAAATTACACGTTGTTGCTACTCACAGGAGATAGAGACTTTGTCATCTTCATAAAATTTTCTTACTATGTGATGGACTGTCACTACCATTAGGAATTACACAGATATGAGAGGTCAAAATCCATTTTTATTTTCTCTTATGCTGAGAGTAGTGGTTGCATCTTTGACGAGGAATTCCCCATCTCAAGAATTTAGAAATGAGCAGAATGAAAAATATGGGATTAAAGAAGGAAGATTGTATTGAGCTTCAGACACACATGAAATTAAAGAAGAAACATTTCAGTGTAAAAATTTCAGGGAGAAGAAAGAGCTCTTGTAATGCTTTCTTCTCTTTATGAATGCATTTTTAATATATTTATAATTAATTATAAAATTAATTTTAAAATTTATTATATTACATAATTTTATATTTATTGTTATAATATTTTTTAATAACTGTTTGTGTGGTACTGGTTTATTCAAATACACCTGAATAACTACTTTCCCAGATGCCTTAGGAAAGTCCATAAAAATTATCTTAATTTTCATAATGTTAATGGAATGCCTTTTTATTTTTATTGTTTCTTAATATTTATACTTAGCATTTAATCACTAATTTTTAGCTTTCTGCAGCAATATTTAAATATTTTCCCCAAACCAAAATAGGATATTCCTATATGTCATAGTTTAATTTATAATGTTTAGAAGCTGTAAGTCTTAAGCAACACAGAATCTTGTCTATCAGACTATCCTTTCCCGAACAGAGCACTTCATTAATTTCAAAAGCAGTAAGTTTCCTTTCATGTTAATACTGCATTATTGTGCAAATAAACGTGGTCATTTTTTTCAATTTTAAAGTGTACTAAGCTTATATTTACCTGAATGGTTTCCATGTTTTTTTTGCTTTAGCTCTACAGTATTGATAATATCAATTTAGAGAAGGCAGAGCTACTGAATGCCTTCCTTGCTTCAGTCTTCAGTGCTGAGGCCGGCCCTCAGGAATCCCAGGCCCCGGAGGTAAGAGAGGAAGTCCACAGAGAGGATGACTTTCCCTTGGTCGAGGAGGACTGTGTGAGGGATCGCTTAAGCAATCTGAACACCCACAAATCCATGGGCCCCGATGGAATGCACCCACGAGTGCTGAGGGAGCTGGCGGATGTCATTGCTGAGCCACTCTCCATCATCTCTGAGAGGTCCTGGAGGACAGGAGAGGTGCCCGAGGACTGGAGAAAGGCAAATGTCACTCCAATCTTCAAAAAGGGCAAGAAGGAGGACCCAGGAAACTACAGGCCGGTCAGCCTCACCTCCATTCCAGGAAAGGTGATGGAGCAGCTCATCCTGGAGGTCATCATCAAGCA